GATAAATTGAGGTATATTACCAAACTTTTTTTTCCGCTATCCTAGCCAACTAGAAAAAAAATAGTATCATATTAGAAATTATTATTTTTTGAAGTCCAATTATATTTTTTAAAAATAAATTTATAAATATTTGAAGTAATTTTATGTTCGATCATGAATACCTTAGATCAATTATAAATTTATTTAGATTGGTTCTACGGAAGTATATGCAAATCTATATGTTTTCATAATCTTTCTTAATTTGTCCTTAATTGTTCGTTATATTGCATGTTCTCAACGTAAAACGACGACAAATCTACAGCTATTTGACCCAACAACCACCATGTATTTCATATNATCGACGACGAATCTACAGCTATTTGACCCAACAACCACCATGTATTTCATATGCATATGAATCTCCTGGGAAAAAACTCTCAAAATGAGACAAAAATTATTGCTTTCAAATAGTTGTGAGCTCTAACTCTCAATAATTCCTCAATTATTGGCTTAACGGTTGAGTTCATATAACAATTGGTATCGTAGTAGGCACCATGTTATGAGTTCGAGTTACGAAAAGTGTAATCTATACACTGAATTAAAATGTCTTAGTATTATATATGACCCGTGAATATAGTGCTATTGCGTTGAATACTGAGAGGTGAGTAGAGTCGTCAAAAGAAAAATGTCTACTATTGGGTCAATGTCAATAGAGTGGGTTGCCATGGACATCGGCTCTGAGCGTGATAGAATATTATGTTCAAATAATTATGTGCTCTAATCTCCAATAAATCCCAAGAGTTTTGGATCGACGGTTAGATTCAAAACAAAAACAGTCAATATTCCTTTGCAAGCCAGATGTTTTCGGCAAAACAGGAAAAATGGTATCCACTGAGCAGCATTCTTGCTGAGTATATAACGCTTACCGCTGTGGTCCTGACAAAAAAATTTCGGTACTATAAGAAAGTTGATCTATAACCATAGATTTTGGTTTGATTGAATTGTAGTTATTGATTGTAGAACTGATAAAAAGAAAAATTTTACACAGTTGTTATTATTTTTATTGAACGAAATGTAAATGTATAGTACAGAAAAATGATACAGACCACTTGGTTTCTCTTTTATCTTTTCCTCTTTTCACTTAAAACATTGTGCTACCAAGTGCAAAAAAAACTAAACCTAGTTATACAGCCAGTAAACGTGGGCTGCGTTTTTTATATGGTACCATGAACTGGTTTCATCTCTCTCATGTACGATGTGCAACCCCAGTTAACTTGGTCGGGGTGAGCACCACTGCCACAGCTAAATGCATGCACATCGCACAAGCTTACAAACAAGCCTCCTTATTTGGCGCATAAGGAAATTGACTATAACATAAATTGGACAATATTGTTACAGGATACAACCTAAGAAATACGGACACAGACGTGAGACAATGATACAATACGACACAGAGAATAATTTATTTGGTTGATAGATCCGATCACCTTCTTGAAAGTATTTGTACTTCATTAGTTGTAACTAGCTACTGTGGATAAAAATGGTTTAGAAAGGAACAACGTTGATGTGAAACATGGTTTAATTAATTGCCACATGCTCGAAGCTTTGTGCTGGGATGGACGGTGGACAAGTCTTGCAGTCGTTGATATATATATTGGACATTTGACTTCCTCTTTCTTTTTTAAAAAGATAAATAGATTTTATCTCTAAAAATTATTTATATGAAACTTACAACGCGGAGAATGATGGACGAGCCTGAAACATATCAGTTCAGACCATCGTCATAGGATGGAACACCATCAAAAGCCGAGGGTGGGGCATTGTTTTCCAAGAAACCGCCACTTGACACCCTTGACACTATTAGACACCACCTGACACGTTTTGATGAACCCACCCCTACACACATTCCGTGTGTCAAGTGCTATTTATGTCACTTAAGCAACATTCAACTTGTATGTCTGTCAATAACTATATTGTTTATTTGCTGTCATTAAAATATAAATTATAGGGTTAATAATCTTTTTAGTCTTTAAAATATGTTTATTTTGTTAGTTTAGTTCTCATTGTATTAATTTTATCAATTTAGTCCCTAAAGTTTCAATTCGTGTCATTTTAGTCTCTAATCAAACAATTCGTAAAAATTTTTGACCGAAGTGATCACGTGTCATTCTTTTAGACGGTAGGGATCATTCTATCAAAAACTTAACAGTCCGTCTATATAGAGATTATTTAAATACGAATTAAATATTTTAGAGAGATGATATTGACAAAATTCACATACTTTAAGGATTAAAAAAACTATTAACCCTAAATTATAATTACGGATGCAACTGGCATCTATCTTTCAAGTTTCTTGAGTACTGCATCATCTTCAAAAACTGTAACCAGATCCAGAAGCTTCGCCAATNCCCCCCCCCCCCCCCCAACCCAAACACATGATTCACTTTAGCTTGATCTCAACGTATTATCTGATCTTTCTTTTTTGATGGGAACAGATCATCTAGTTCTTTTTTTTTTTTGCCTTTTTTGGACAAGAACAGATCATCTGGTTCAAACAAAGTAAAAATACCCACTTATTTGAAAGTGGAGACATTGAAATCCCACTTAGGTGTCCACATATTGGACTAATGGGATCTTTGATCGGATTGATCATTTGCATTACTTAATCAAGAAGAAAAATAGGTAAAGTTCTAGAGTGTGTGCTAATGATAAAAAGAAAAAGAAAAAGAAAAAATAGGTTGCACGGATTTAAAAACAAGAAGACGCGAACTCACATATTCTGAATTTGAGTTCCTTTTGTCACATGAAATTCGGATTTAATTGATACCTGTAGCTTATGTGTGTTTACCTCCATTTAGGGTTTGAGTTGCTATCATATTTAGGGTTGATAATTAAGCCGAATTACTAGTGTTCAGATCGAATATGACACGATTCAAGCTCAACTTATGTTCTAAACGAACTGTCAATAATTTTTTAAACTTGTTTAAAAAACGAGGCTAAAAAAAGTTCGGCTTAAACTCGCAAAGTTTGACTCATTTATATGTAGAATACTCGAACTATTCGAGTTCGGCTTATTTTGAACTCGGCTTGTTTTCTAAACGAGCTTAAAAGACTCGATTCAAACTCGTAAAAACTCGACTCGATTATCCGCTCTAATCATATACATCCCTTTTACTATCCTTGTAAATTTTTAACATGTAAAATACTTAATATACCATAGCTCAAATGATTTATAATTTTTTATATTTTTTAAAATGATTAAAATCAGTAGAGAGTCAATTATATATTTTTTTTTCCGTAAGATTGGGCCAGAGTCAAAATTACTGTAGAAATGAGGTTTGAGTTACATTAGCAGCCAATTCAGCTGGAGCAAGTACCGTCTTAGGGCCCAAAAGTATACCTTGAAATGATAATATGCATACCTAGCCACATTAAATGGCTGAAAAGATAAACCAAAACCCTGGCTTTTGAGTTTTAGTTAAAAACAGATAGAAGACGGGAGCTTAGGTGAAGCTAGCAGTTATTTCCAAACGTGTGTCTTTTCCTGTTGTTCTATTAAATAGACAATGATTAGATGGATGGTTCTTAGTGGTTCACTTAATACTAGTAACGGTAATCATCTTAATCATATAACTTCTAACTAACGTAATCACCGATAAATTACAAGTACTAAGTCAATGGAGACATGTCATTTTTTCTTTTTTGGCTACAGGATCAACATAGACATGTCTTACCAGACACCAGACTCAACTGAAAATTACATTCTATATAGCAAATTAAAACCAAAAAAAGGTTAACTGCAGGAGATTTGGAGAATATAAACACAAAGGAAATCTAAGGCTCTCTCTCACTCTCCACACACACATTTGATGGTACCCATTGACCACTGATTTCAGTCTCTCCACATTTTTACTTTTTCCTTCAACCTGTGAGGATATTGCTTTTTACGTACACCCACTTTTCCAAGCGTAAATGATACGTCTTTTTCTTTTATCAGCTTTCAATTACAGATCGTTTATAGTATANTACCCACTTTTCCAAGCATAAATGATACGTCTTTTTCTTTTATCAGCTTTCAATTACAGATCGTTTATAGTATATTGGTGAATAACTGATTTATATGTAGTGGGTCTAATGTAGATTTAAGGCTGTTGATCTATCAACTAAAAAAATTAAAAGAATGAGGGATATATATTTAAAAAAATTAAAAATAACTACCACAAATGTTGTAAAAACACCCGCAAATGTCATAAATCACCCATAAACAAATGTGATAAAACTAATTATCACAAATGTGATAAAAACACTTACAACAGTGATAAATATATATTTATATATAAAATATGACAAATTTCAATAAGTTTATCTAACAGTTTCAAATAAATTCATTCAACAACTATCAACATTTATTTCAAAACAATTTACAGTGCATCATGTCTTCAGGTACGGGTTAGTCTTAGTCACCTATAAAAATGGAAAAAAAAAAATTGTTGTAAAATGACCACAAAACTAATAAAAATATTCATTAAAATAGTAAAAATTAGAAATATGACGCTGAAATTGTTTATTCGATACCGTAGTAAATGTCACTGAATCACTGATACTGACACAGTATTGAAGAAATTAAGAACCAAAAAGTAACTGGGAGGTAGTTATAAATGTTTCTAATTATTCATGAGTTTTTAATCACAAAAAATGGCATGGAGTTTTCTGCGGATAGGCCAAGATCTTTAATAGCCCCACCTTCCCATGCCTACAACTATTCATGGTGAGAGAGAGAGAGAGATGTGAGAAACTTGCATGGGAATAAGTGAAGAAGGATCTAAGCAATTTTGGATGTCCTATCTCTCTCCTCATGTTTATATAAACCTGGCCTCTTAGATTGTCTCAGACCACTTTTTTCCCTCTACTGCTACGTCTGCATCCAAATTTATCACTTTCCTCGAGCCTTCCATTTCCAAAGCATTGAAATGGCGGCTTTTTCATACCAACACCACCCTTTTTTTTTGGACTCAATTCTCATGCCAAACACTCCCATTAAGATGCCTTCCTTTTTGGAGGAACCAAACAACACCACTTCCCCTACCTGTTTTGCTCAATTTTACCAACCTGAGGTTGTTTGTATCCATGAAAGTAGCTGCCTTCAACACAGTACAAAAGTTGCTCTTCGTAATAATGAGCCTTCTGTGAGAAACAAACATAGCCCAGACTCTTCCATAATTGTTGATAAACTAGAGATTGGTGAGCAAGTCACTCAGAAGCTGAATCCTATGGACAAGAAGAGGAGGTACCCAGACGGTTCTTCCATGAGTTCTGCTCAGTCAAAGGTAACTCACACTGAAACTTGGTCTTGAGTTATACAATATTCAATTTCATGTGTGTGACGGCGGGCTTGGCGCAATGCTAAAGATGCTCTAGTGTGATCTGGGCATCAAAGTTCGAGTCGCCAAAACAGTTATTTTACATTTCAATTAAATTTTGAGACTAAATTTAGAATCGAAATGACATGACAGTTGATTTGAGCTTCTTTATTTGGTGTCATGTCATTTGGGTCCCTATAAAAACTCTAAATAATATGCTACCATATCATTTGAATTCTAAATTTGGTCAACGTAGCATTATTATTCACATTTAGTGTCTAGGTGGGTCATCTAGTACTCTCTAGACCCCTCAATGGTAGGTGGCTCGTGCTTTAGGCTGTCCTTTTTTTGTTGTTAAACTTCATACTTGGGGGGTTCTTAACTTATCCAGATTCGGTGCGTTCACACTATAATATTGCTTGAGTTGGAGGTTTTGTTGATAATTGTTGGTGGCTCATTTTGTTAGGATGTGAGAGAATTGAAAGGGAAGAAGAAAAAAAGAAGCAGTGTAGGAATGAAAGATGGTGATCAAGCTCAGAGCAAGCCTACGGGTAATAAAAAAGATGGGAAGAAAGTCGTTGAAGAAGCTCCAACAGGCTACATTCATGTAAGAGCAAGGAGGGGCCAAGCAACAGACAGCCACAGCCTAGCAGAGAGGGTACTATTCATTATTTAAAGCTCTTTACAACTGTGGTTTTACATTTAAGATCAAGGGAACTACGCAATATGACTAGTATCCAATTCTTTTTCTGCTATCCACGTACATCAATTACACCTGAGTTTTATATAGTCAAAGACTCAAAACTCACGTGTGGATTTCCTCCTTGTCTCTTGTTTAATTACTAAATCAACCCATGCCGGTTAATAAATTTCCAAATTTCTAAGAGGCAAGTGCAACTATTCATGCCTGAGTGCAATCAATAATCCTTTTTTGTGTATGGATTTCAGGTAAGGAGAGAGAAAATAAAGGAAAAGATGAAGTTGTTGCAAGCTATTGTTCCTGGGTGTGACAAGGTGAGATCCGGCACTTTGTGCTCACTTTGTCTTTCTTTATAGATTAGTTCTTCTTAGTCTTCTGANATGAAAAGATGAAGTTGTTGCAAGCTATTGTTCCTGGGTGTGACAAGGTGAGATCTGGCACTTTGTGCTCACTTTGTCTTTCTTTATAGATTAGTTCTTCTTAGTCTTCTGACATCTTCATGTGGCTTGACTGAAAAATAGGTAACTGGAAAGGCCCATATGTTGGATGAAATAATTAACTATGTCCAGTCCCTACAAAATCAAGTAGAGGTAATAATTTTTACTCTATTAGTATTTTATTTCATCTCTGTAAAATCTTATTTAACTTACCCATCTATGGTGTTTCCATTTTGCAGTTCCTTTCTATGAAGCTTGCTTCCCTGAATCCCATGTTCTATGACTTTGGAATGGACACAGATGGTTTTATGGCTAGACATGAGGTATAAAACAATTTCAAGAAAATATTTCAAGCCAAAAATGTTTTCCTTTTTCTACTTGCCTAACTCTTTTGCTGAAACGGCCTCTCCGCATGTGGGGTAAAGTTGTGTATATCTAACCCTTAAAGACCGGCAGTACTGGCCGGCTATCTTTCACTTGTCTGGTTCTTTGAGATCCTTTCTCCACATAAAAGCTAATGCTCTCTCTCTCTCTCTCTCTCCAGCCCACAGGATTTTCGAACAGAACCAATAGTTTCACCACAGAGAATAACTATCCTCTTGTGGACAGTTCAAATCCACTTCTGTTTCAACAAGGGCAGTTGCTAAATAATCTCTCTCAGGTATGTTTTCAATTTATGGAAGGTCATAATAAAATATTCCACCTTTGTATACTCAAAAAAATACAAAGGAACATAAAATTACAAACAAAAAAAGGGGAATTCCTATCTTTCTAACTTTGACAGATACATCATTTTCAGGCTACTGGACAGCTCTTATGGGATATAGATGAGCAAAGGCAAAAGTTTATAAATCAATCTGGTTTCAGCAACAACTTGTGCTCTTTCTATTAATATCAGACCAAGAGCTGCCCTACACACATCTGGTAAACCCTCAAATCATGTCTCAGGAAATATATGTACATACACTCCAAAATGGATAAACATAATGTATTTTTTTTTCATTTCATAAGAAATGTAGAGGCTGTGCTGTATACTGGCTAGACAATTTTAAATATATCACAATTTTCAATTATCTCAATTTAGTTCTCAAAATATTTAATTCATAGTAATCACCTATCCGAATTTTATTTTTTTTTGTTAAAACAAGCGGAAAAGCCCATGACGTTGTATTTATTTGTCCCTTGAACTTTTTTTTTGCTGTCTTTTCGGTTGTTTTAATAGAAAAATTGGATTAAAAGAGTCGATTGATACGATTTACATAGTCTAAAGAATAAATTTAAGAATCAAATTGAAATTCGTGACAAAATTCAAGTTGCATCTATGATATTTAACCTAAATAGAACTAGAAATGATTAGATAAAAACATGTTCATGTCTTTTTACTGACTTTTGCTCTTTCTCTTTCTCTTTTACAGTTTGTAGGGAGATTTCAATGCACACAAACATAGAGGAAACTAAAATATTGAGGGCATAAGTTCAAAGCTGCTTATTCTTTAGTATCAATTCTTATTGTTCATCACATCAAGGCTCTGATTCAAAGCAAAGTTGATAATGGAGTCTGCTCAAGCTATGAATAAAGGGCATGAAGCATAATCCATGGATGGAGAACACAAGGGAGACACCAAAGGACAGCTAAAACCGACCATATTAGACCTGCAGATCTCATGTAGATCCCTTGTTCCTGACCCAATTTGTGTCATAGTGATAGCTGAAATGATGTAAAAATCGGACCTAATTTCTTGTACTAATCAATTTACCTAATTTCTTGTCCCTTTTGTTAAATTTTACTGTTGCCTTGACAAGTTATGCATTTGAAGTTTTGTTAGATGTACCGTCAAATCTTTATGTGGTTTGAAATTATTCTCATGGGTGGGTGGATTAAGTTGAATTTTAATTTGAAGTTTTTTACCGGATTTAGTAATATAATATGGGTTTAATATAACATCTACATATTTGAATTGACCGCTTAGCATTTTTAGTCAAATATGTTCGTTTTGTCGGTTTGATACTTAATATATCAATTTGGTCTATAAAGTATTTAGTTTGTATTTCAATGGTCGCTACATTGTCATTCTTTTAAATGGTATTACATAGTCATTTTTGTTGCAAAATTTAACAATCCGTCTATGTATGAATTATTTACACATGAATTAAATTGACAAATTTTGATACATTAAAGACCAAATTGATAAAACGAGCACAATTTGTGAGACCAAAAATGTTATGAATCTATAAATGATCGATTCAAGTTTGTGTAAATACAAAAAACTTGATTTCAACACAACAAACTAACTTAAATAAAGAATATATATATATAGGTTTTTATGCTTTCATATCTTCATCTTATGGATGAATCATTGTTCTCACAGAGGTTTTTATTTATTTATTTGGTTTTATTAGGATTTGGATTATGGGAATGTTTAGTTTATAGGGATGTGATCACCGAGGAAAACAGTTGAAAACGAGGGCTGACTTACCGTTAGATTTCGTGTTGTCCTTTGTTAAATTATTGCTGACATGAAATTTACTGTGGGGTTATATATGTACCCAGGATGGAATCTTTCTGTCTTTTGGTATTGGGATTAAAGACGAAAATTCTATTTAATTATGCAATTTAAAATTAAAGTGAAAATAAGAAAGTGGCAGGAGAAACAGAAAATAGAGATAGGCGAAGATTAGTGCTTTTGACCGACATCGGGGAGATTGTTGTATATATTAAAAAATTGAACGAATTTTATACTTTGGATAAAAAAATTGATCAATCTTAATCGTTGTTGTAATTTTTATAAGTTGCAAGTTTAACGCTTTAACTGTAATATTTTTTAGATAATATTTTTTTATCCCATATTAAATGAACGAGACAGGTTTTTTAGCACGACAACATTCATTAGTTTTAATTTGAAAATTCGGTCTGGTTTGATCTTTTGAACATACATATAAATGAATACTCATATATGCTATGTCTATTTGTTAATCTTTTTTCTGCCAAATTAAATACATAACGGTAAAGTATAGTTATTTAAGTGTCACCAGTTCAAAAAGTGAAACACAATCTTTTAGGTGCAGAAATAAGACTACGTATATTTGACCATTTTCAATGATCCTAGTAACGAGAGTGTCAAACACAAAACTAGCTTTTAGTATAGATGAAATTAAAACCACTAGCATGAGAAGAAAAATGAGATTAGAGTTTATTTATCACTGATGATGCACAAAATAATTTTATGCAAGATTAACAGTCGAGTCTGTAAAAAATGTAATTAATAGATAATTAATAAAATAATCAATGACAGTAATATAAATATTGAGTCAATATACAAATATATAGTAGTTCGGTTCGGGTGACCTACTCCACTCTGAAAAATAGCAACTGTAACCGGAAGGTCTTTATTGATGAAGGTAAAAGAGAGAGAGAGAGCAATGGTTAGCTCTGGAGGAGGTACAATAGCTGGGAGAGAAAAAAACAATGTGTGTGTAGAGAGCTGTAGAGGTAGAGCTCAATGTGTCCTCTTATTTAAAGATGACTTACAATTTATAGGCATAGGGTCTTGGTTGAGGTGGTGACATGTGGGTAAAGGTACTAGTCCTTCGGGGAGGACATCTACAATAGGTAACTATAATTAAAATTACCAAGATCTTCGAAAGTAGATATCCCTATGATCTCTCTCTCATGTGTACCAATCTTCATGGGTTCCTGGAATCTTGGACTGGGTCAGATTGATGAACTAGACTCTGCCTGCCTTTCTAGTGGATCTGGGCTTGCTTAATTTACTGGGTTTGATCCAATTTGATATGAGCTCGTCATTTGTCCCCCATGCCCCAAGCCCTACTGGTGAAGGGGTTGGAGACATGAGTGAGTCTCTTACTTTTGCGTGGCTTGCTCCCCACGATAGCCTCTTTGTCTGAAAAAAGTTTCTTGTTTCGCACTATGGTTGCTTCTTCAACCTCCTGTCCATTTGCACCCTGAGGACTTGTTCTTTCGGTTTGATAATCACTATGGTTGGAAAGTCATCGTGCTGACTGTGATACTCTAACAACTTGGTGAATCTGATAGCAAGGTCTTCTTTTTTATGCAGGTATTTGCCTTTTAGCTTTAAAGGACATTTCCTGTTAAACCCCTCTTATCCCTCTTTAGAACTAGGGCTTACTTTCCCCTTTCTCACTTCATAAATCATTGGGAAATTTGAAGGAGATGAGCATGGAGACAATGGAGAAGAGGAAACAAGGTGCCCCCCAACGATTCCACGTGGGAGGTCTCATCGAAGAAGAATAGAGGTAAATCGGGGCTTAGAGGCGATGGAGCAATAGGGATTGTTGGTGGCTGCCATTCTGGCATAGGCGACATCGGAGGCTTGGGTGGCGCCAACTTTGCGAAGGGAGAGATGCCAATAGAGAGAGGCGATGCCTCGGGGAGCGCAGGCAACACCTTGGGCAATATGGGTGGCGCCCTAAGCATCGATGGGGGAGCCCAGCTCCAAGGAGGCGCCAAAGAAAAGAGGGGGTGACGAGTCACTGATCGGAGCCAGCAGCGCGTTGGGCGATGCTGGCGATGTGCCAGGCTACGCCAACGGTGAGGCAGGCTACGATAGTGGAGGCGACGACAGAGATACATGAGACTTTGTGCTGGGCGACGCTAGCCAGGGCGCTGGTGAGCTTCGGCCTAGCGAAAAGGATGATGTCCAATCCAAGCTTGGCGACATCGGGAAACACGTGGGCGCAAGGAGAGGCGACGCCCTAGGCGTGCTTGGCAGCGCTGAAATTGAGGAGAGAGAAAGTGTTCTTCTGAACTTTGCGACATACATTTTGAACTTTTCTTTACAGCTTTCATTACATACCCCACGACCTGACTGGGTAGGTCGATCCCAAAAATTCAATCAAAGCGCTACAAGGACGTAGTTGGATTCAAACACAGCTAGACTCCATAAGAGTCCAACAAGCACTAGTATTCCCTTGACATTGACTTTGATTACATCTTAGTTCTATTTGTTGCCAAGCACCCACTCTGACAAGCACATTATGGGGGAGGCTACTTGAGACATCGAGCAAGGCAAGGGGACTACTGGAGATAATGGCTCGAAGGTGACTTCCATATTCAACTCCATTGACTGCAATGAGAACATTGCTCATATCGTATCTTCGTACTGTATCCCTCCTAATGTGATGTGTCGTAGTGTAGAGGAGAACGAGCCAACGTGTTGTGACTCCTTGGGCGAAATTGTTATTTATGAGGATATCTTGGAGGCGGACTTGAGGTTCCTGATACATGGGCCCATATGTCGAGTCCTGGGACTTCTGTCACTAGCTCCCAAGCGGTTGGCCCCAAACGGGTAGAGGGTGATCTTAGCATTCTTCTTATTATGGCAGCTAGTTCTCAGTAGTGATGTCCCTCCCCCTTTTGAAGACTTCTTGACCACATACGTGTTTCTGGAGAACCCCATCCCCCATCAAGGGTGTATCGTTTTGCCCCAAGGTCGGGCAAGTTCATTATTGGGCTTCCTTCAAACTGTCATAGCTAGAAGTCTAAGTTCTTCTTTGTTGGAGGCAAGTGGGCCGCCGAGGGAGATCGTGACTTGGTGCTTTCGAGGTGGGACACTGTCCCGAGGACCAAGTTAGGTAAGAATTCCTTTTTCGTCTTTACTTCTAGTCGTCACACATCTGTTCTCACTATATGATTGGTTTCTATGTAGTTTCACCTACATTATCTGCAAAGAAGAAAATAGGCTTCAAATAGTTCGTGACCATCCTTTCAAGGAATTCTTAGAGATTATGTCTGCGTCAAGTCATCCCAAGGTTTCTCATAAGTCGAAGAGGAAAGGTACCTGATCCTTCCAGCAGACTCCTGATGGTTATAACATTGTAAGTTTTTTGTCTCACACCAAGTCTGCAGGTACTTCTATTGATTTAGTGATCTTGGAGGCTATCTACGTTTCTAGGGTGACGTCTTCCTTTCCTTCTTCTAAGAGAGCAAGATCTGATGCCCCCGGTGTTTCTCGGCAGAGGTCTGCCAACCAGGATAGTCCTCGAGAGGCGAGACTTGGTGATGCCCCCACTCCTTCCCCTACTGTGGTGCCATCGCCTTCCAGAGTTCATCCTAGTATAGCCATTGGAATTAAAGCTTCAGTGCAGTCTCCTATGAGGATTGGGGCTCCGCCTGGCTGTCTTGCTTCTAGAAGTAGTTCGATGTCCATGTTACAGGACGTGAATTTGGCCAAGAAGCAACTGTGGGGATTTGTGACTACTGCGGAGATCCAAGAGGTTGGTTCTCAAGGTTTAAAGGGCATCATCGACACAGCGATGGAGGGCTTTACTTTGGTATTCCCTTTACGCATCTTTGATCTTGTACCTGACTTCCTTCTTTTCATGTTCTGCCTATAGGTGATTGCTGTTTTTCCCCGCTTGTTTTCAAGCACGATGAAGCTTAGAGAGACGCTTAGTGGTCAGACAGCGAAGAGGCAGGCATGGAGGGCTGCTGAGGAACAGGTAGAGCTCGAGAGGCAGGCACGAGAGGCTGTCGAGGAGTAGTCGAGGCTAGCACACTAGAGAGCTGCCACACTTGAGATCGAGCTTCAGGCATCCCGCAAAAGGATCGCCCAAATAGAGGCTACTTGAGCAAGAGTAAAGACAGAGCTGCGAGCGTCCCATGAGAGGGTCGTTGTAGTAAAAGCTGACCTTCAAGCAACTCTTGAGAGAGCTACCAGAGCAAATGCTTACTCCATGGAGATAGAGAAGAAGAGGGATACTGCTGAGAGGGCTGTGGCAGACGCTTTTATTGATTGCTATGAAAAGCTCAAGAGGAAGATCTCAGCAATTTTTCCTGCTTATGATTTTTCTGGCTTCGTCTCCTATAAGTCTCCAGGGCCTGATGACGAGGAGGCAAGTGATGAAGGGAGCGGATCGGGAGGCAGTGAGTGACATCAAGAGCATGGTATCTTTGTATTTATATTTTTGTTACTAGGTTATGTTCTATCTTTTGTAAATGAGATACAACTTTTTGAAAAAATCTTGCGAAATTTATTTCATAATCTGAAGTAAATATTAAGAAAAATTGACCAATACAAAAATAGATAATCAAAATGGTGACTACTGACTTATACACTCACTGCCTCACCCCTAGTTATTGGTAATATTTCTTTAGGTGCTCTGCGTTCCATGTGTGGGGTCATCTTGTATCTGAAATAGGATATGCTCCACCAAGGCATTGAGTGGCATGAAAGATTGTCATTCTCTCAGAGGTACTGGACTGAGACGGTCCTTGACAGAGACTCTCTCGGTTCTCTTTCTCTTGTTCTTCGCCTCTCGCTTGTCTTCGTAGGTATCCTTCCTTTTTTTTTCTCCTCAGGAGGACTCAACTCGACGGACTTTAGTGTTGTCCTCGGTGTTCATGTACTTATGTGCCCTTGACAGCAATTCAGGTATGTTGGAGAGCAGCTTCTTGAGGACGAAGAACATAAAGCTAGAAGAGCGCAAATCAACAATAAAGGCAGCAAGGGCTACCTTATCGTTGAAACAAGTGAGGTAGTTCCTAAGGCTTTTATCCCAGTCCTGCTTGATGGTGAGCAGGTGGTTAACTAGCTTCTGATGTTGACGTCCCCCAATGAAGTGGGAGACAAAAGATTTAATTAGCTTCGCAAAGGAGTGGATAGAGGAGGGTTTGATCTTCGCGAACCATTGTCGAGCAAACCCCTTCAACATGGTAAGGAAGTCTCTACACATGATCTCATCAGGCATATTGTAGAGTTGCATCAGAGACTGATAGGTGTCGAGGTGATCCAGAGGGTCCTTGGTACCGTCGAAGATCTCGTTGGCAGGCATCTTGAAATTCGAGGGTAGGGGCAATTGACAATGTTTGCAACAAACGGGGTATCAATGTGCCTTACCAAGTAATCCACAGTCTCAGGCGTCTGTGCCTTGATGGCGTTGAGGGCATCACCGAATTGGTTTTGCACCTCTCTGATCTTCTTATCCCATTATTTGGAGACATCCTCTATCAGGTTGTTGTAAAGGCTTTCATGATCGGCATACTGGTTTTCTCCCTCGTCCTCATGTGCAGGTATATGAGGAAGGGGAATGTGTGAGCTTCCTGCGTACTGAGGGGGGACTCCTGGGCGAGGGGCACCCGAGCATTGTCCGAGGGCATTCTGGCATTGGGCTCCATAGTGGGGGAGGCTTGGTGCCCATGATGGAGAGGTTGTTGTGGTTCTCCTGTTAGAGGGAGTGGTGCTCCTCCTATGGGATGAGGGGCGACGCCTCTCGAAGCGAGCATCAACTGGATGATTTGATAGTTCTGGTTTACCAATAACTGTATGGTCTGTAAAAATTGTTGTCCGGCCATGGGAGTCGCCACAGTGAATGGTTTTGCGGGTGCTAGTAGAGGCGAAGCCTTCTCCCGGGAGGCCGGGTTGTTGTCTCTCGATTGTTGACTTATTGACCTGATCGTGATTGCCATAAAGTACTAAGGTAGTAGAAAACTTAGTTATTTTTCAGAGACGGTGTCAAACTAATGATGCACAAAATAGTCTCGTACAATATTCATAATCGAGTGTGTAATAAAGTGTAATTAATCGACAATTAATAAAGCAATCAATGACAGTAATATAAATATTGAGTCAACACACAGATATATAGTGGTTCGATTCGTGTGACCTACTCCATTCTAAAAAATGGCAACGGTGGCCAAGGGGTCTTTATTGATGAAGTAAGGTAAACGAGAGAGAGAGAGAACAATAGTTAGCTCCAGGAAAGGTACAATAACTAGGAGAGAGAAAAGCTACGTGTGTATAGAGAGGTGTAGAGGTAGAGTTCATTGTGTCATCTCATGTAGAGAGGACTTACAATTTATAGGCATAGGGTCTTGGTTGAGGCGATGACGTGTAACTTATTCTGAATGTGTACACCCAAGTGCAGGCGGTCAAGTTGTAGTAATAATTCGGTTAAGTCCAGAATCAAATCCACATGGAACTATGATTAGTGTTTTAAAGTAGCAGTGATAGAGACGAAGTAACTGTAAACCTTGAGAGTTTGAAGTTATGGGATTTCCTGAATAGAATATTAGATTCTTTCCAAGAGTTTTCTAGACAAAATATAAGATAAATTCAAATATAAATAATTACTCTTTAGTTCGAGGATCAGAACATGTAGTTAATCATCCGGTTTATTATACTTGTGCTTTATAACTCAATTAACTCCCGTGTCAACAACAAGTTAATCGAAAGATAAAGATGGACTATGAGAATTAAGCACATGGTTCAGATGTCTTTCTAGAAGTTTACAAAAATTGTATATACCGAGACTCAACCTGTTTACAAACAAGCAAGTGTTTCTACAAGACATCCAACTATGGTATTAATGTTTCATTCTTTAGATAAAGCACAATAATGGTAAAGATTGAAATATTGTCATGAAGATCTAGCCGGGGTATTTATCTTGAACTAACAAGTCTTTCTATACAAGAGTCATCCGTGTCATAGAAAGAACTCACAATTATACAAAGTACATTTACCTTTGC